TAACCATGTCAAATACTTAGGATAAAAGGCCTAACATTTAAAAAAAAATTAAAAAGAAAAAAATATTCAAAAAAAAATGTCAGCTTGGGGTCATTTTTATGTCCGGCTGCCTGATAAGAAAAATTGTTCAGTTAATGAGATGTGAACTAAGGCATACTTGCACTAAGAACCATCAACTCACAGGACAAACGATTTCTTCCTAACATACACTTTAAAAATGATATAAACTATACATTTGCTAAATATCAAAGAGTCTACTTACAGTTTGCACGTCTGCGACTTTGTTGTAAACAAAACAGTATTATGACGTCATAATCATCGTCAAAGCCCTTTGATGTTTGAAAACATTTTGGATGATTCTGATTTCCGGAATACGAAGCGGAATGAATAGTACTTCTGCTATTCGTTGTCAATCCCACAGGTTTTAAAGTTATATTTGTGTATCAGTTGGTCATTGAAAGTAATTATATAGAGAAGAAAAACCATAAATGTTGACTTTAGGGACCAGGCAAATTTTATCATAATAATGGGACCAGTACAAACAGGCATGGGACAATGATTTTTTTCATCGAAGAAAATCATGGGACAAAAACTTTTTTTTAGCACTAAGTACCCATGGGACACAAACTTTTTTTAAAAAAATTAATTACAGTACTTAACTCAAGAGACATATTTATTATATTTAAAATTATTTTTTTTCAAAAAACTTCAATTTTTTTAAAGACATCTGTAATCTGAAAGAATCTTTCAATAATTAATTGTTATCAATGCACTTTTTGTTATTTTTGTTCCAATAATCTCATGAACATCAAGATATAACCATGGGACAGTAACTTTTTTACAAGTCTAAAGGCATGGGACAAATATTTTTTTTAATATACGAGTGCCATGGGACATGTAATTTTTTTGAATGATAATTTGTTTTTGTACCGGTCCCGTCATTGTAATAAATTTTGCCTGGTGCCTTATAATTTGTCATTTGGAAAACGACACATCACTGATGCAATTGTAAAATCTTCGAATATTAGGGAAGGAGGGTTGAATTTATAATTTATCCCTTGGAAAATGAAACTGTTCCAATATGGGGGCGGGATGTTTATGATATGTTTCATGTTGCAAATGTGCACCCATATATTTGTTTATATGGCATTTAGAGGCTGTGGAATACAACGTGTGGGATTTTTTTCATTTACAAACGATAACTTATGTGGAAGCATCCTAGGGTAGTGTAGATTCTGGTTGTACAAATCATGACCCCGGGAGTAGGGTGGGGCCACAACAGGGAATCCAAGTTTTACATTGAAATATGTGGAAAAAATGTTTAAAAATCTTCTTCTCAAGAATCAGTGGACCTGATAAGCTGAAACTTATCTGGAAGCATCATTGGGTAGTGTGGAATCTAAATTGTTCAAATCATGACCCCCGGGGGTAGGGTGGGGCCACTAAAGGGAATCCAATTTTTACATTGAAATACATAGAAAAAATGTTTAAAAATCTTCATCTCAAGAAACACTGGGCCAGAAAAGCTGAAACGTTTGTTAAAGCATCCTGGTGTAGTGTAGAATCTAAATTGTTCAAATCATGACCCCGGGGGTAGAGCGGGGCCACAATAGGTATTACAAGGAGTAAAATCTGATTTAAAAAAAAACAGCAGAGCCAAAGTTACTCAGATGAGCGTTGTGGCCCTTGTGCCTCTTGTTATGAAATTCATTTTAACTGCTACTCTGTCTACCGCTTTGGTCCAATTTCAAATAAAACTTGGTACGCATGTAGATTACAGTAAGATACATGATTCTGATTATCATTTTTTTTTTCAATTTGACAAACGGTGTTGTTATGGTTACTAAAAATAGAAATTTCCATGCAAGTCTATCAGAAGGCTACTCCTTCCACAGTTTAAGTCCGATTGCAATAAAACTTGCCATAAAAAGAGACTAAACCAAGGGACGTTATTCTATTTATTACTGTTGCGATACTTTCAAATCCAAGTGCTCTTTTGTTGGAAGTACAGACCAGTAGAGTTACAGTCTCATCAGAGACTTCTCAGAGTAAATGAAAAATCAATATAAATAATATTCAATAAGATGCATTAGCTGTCTTCATCATTACAGTGTGTTGGATGGAAAGTATCGGAAACAAGAATCTTAAATACAGCAAAGAATGATCGCGTAATAGCAAAAGAAGTAACCTATAGGGTCAGGTTTGGTTTTGGTCTTTACAAAAAAACATCAATTTCTGTTCTGACTGATGAGTTTACGCGACAGGCATCTAGTCATTTGTTTCTCATATATCATTTTATTTTAGTCAATAATGCACTTAGTATATAGAGATAGAAGGAACCTTTTCATATAAATTAACTATATATACATGTAGTCCATGCGTTTTGAGTTCGTAGTTTCTGATATTTTCATTGTAATGGTAATATATAGTCTTAATTCCCTTGCTGATGTGCATTTTTCTATGGAAATTATAAAATATGATTGATATGCTAATCTTAGACATGAAGTTCCGGACTTTTTACGTACACTTCTCAGCTAAAAAAAATCGAGACAAACACTTTAGTCTAATAGCACAGACAGAAGAAAAGCATATATATATTGAATTGATTGAATTTTAAGGTATGTATATACAATAGAAATTCATTGCAGACGAGAATACCTGTATCGAGTAACACTTGGTGTCTTGTCCTTAAAGAAAGTGTGCTACACTGAGGATATAATTGTATAGTTCCGCTTGATTGCGGTTTGATTAGATTTTCATACCTGTGATATCTTTTATATTAAAAAATTTGTAATCACACAAAATTTTACCAAAATCAATTAAATCAAAACGTACGACTTTTCAACACTTTATACAACCATTCCCCACCGTAACTTAAAGTCAAGGCTTTTTGACATCATATACAGTTGCTTTTTCAATATTAATGGAACTCGTAAATTTACTTACTTCGTCATTGGTCATTTGCAAAATTATTTTGTTAAAAAACATTATGATTGTACACACAAGATGCTTGAGTTTCTGATTGATAGTATATATTTTTTTGAGATCAAGTCTTCCAACAATCTGTCGGAATATATACCTATGGGTACTAATTTCACGCCGTTATTAGCAGACCTATTTTTGTATTCATTTGAATCAAAATTTTTTAAAAACTTCTACATGAGAAGAAGAAAACACTTGCTGTAGCCTTTAACTCGACAATTAGATATACCGACGACGTATTATCAATTAACAATAGTTAAATCCATTTATATGTCAACTCGATATATCCCAGTGAACGTGAAATAAAAGGCACCATATATTTTACTAGAAAAAGGCGTTAATGGTAGCCTAATAGTAACCTAACAATAAAACTTGATGATATGTTTGTTGATTTATGTCTCCCAGTTGATTCGATACGGTAGAGCATGTTCAACGTACGAACAATTTCTAAAACGAGACAAGCTATTGACAAACAAGTTGATGAAACAAGGATGTAAAATGTTTTGTTTGAAGTGAACATTTTGCAAGTTCTATGGTCGATACAATGACCTTGGTAGCAAATACAATCTATCAAGTCAAATGCTGGCTGACGTTTTTCATACTAATTGTTGGGCCATTATTTACACACTGAATTGCCTACGGATTTTTCCATTTATCCGATCATGACAAGGAGCACATGGCGGATGTGACCGGTCGACAGGGGATGCTTACTCCTCCATGGCACCTGATCCCACCTCTGATGCTTTTAGAGGTAGTTGTTTGCTGTGCTCCCGTTTTGTATTGTTTCAAGCTTGACTACTGTTCGTTATCTCTATCATTCATCAAGAATCATCATCATTGTCCTTTACACCCTGTGGTGTGTAGGGCAGCAACAAACTTCCTCCACTCTTGCTTATCCTGGGCCAGCCTAGTTAATGATCCCCAGGTCTGAGCATGGCTTTCATTTCACTTTCCACCGTCCTTCTCCGTGATGTTCTTGGCCTCTCTCTCTCTCTCTCTTTCTTTTGTCCTCTTGGGTCCAGTGTAGTGCTGTTCTTGTTGTTGACTGGGGGTCTTTTCGTAGCGTTTGGTAATGATGGTTTCTATGCCCTCTTGATTACATCTGCTCAGCAGGTCTTCATTTGTAACCTTCTCGGGCCAGAATATCCTAACTATATGGTGTGTAAGGATCGTAACTTGCTATTGCTAAGATCTGTCTCTATTATTCTCCAGCATTCCGATCTACATAGGAGACTTAATACAATACATCTCTGGTAATACTTCAGCTTGGTGTTGGTGCTGTACTGTGCAGACCTCCAGATGTTATTCATTCTCTAAATACTCTCCAGGTCTTGCCCAATCTGCTGTGGATGTCCTCCTTTGTGCCCTCTGGTGTATTGATGCTACCCAGGTAAATAAAGTCCGCCTGGCGGAATAAACGGGCATTAAAGATCATAATTGAAGGAAAATACACAAGTCTCTATCAAAAAAAAAGTGTTTAAAAGGCGAAAATTTAAAAATGTAAAAGTTTTACACAAGGTGGATTCGAACCACAATTATAAAAAGTTACAACGATAATGAGAGGCATTGAGCTACATCGCCGTGGGGGGGGGGGGGGGGGGGGGTGCCCCCCCCTTCCAATAATTTTGTCGATATATAGAATACTATAGAAAGCATAGCTACTATATGCTTGTGCCCCGCAATAGTAACATCTGATGATTTTTTTTTTCTTTATTTGCTTGTGAAAGAATTTTTGGTAGCTCTCCAATACTGAAGTGTTTGGTTGTGCCCCCCCCCCCCCCAAAAAAAAACTGAAATTGCTTCCTACGGGCCTGAGCTACACAGACTGTGTTGTTCGATGATATAAATATGAAGCAGGTTGTCAAAAGTAGCTCTTTTGTGAATTTTCACTCCAGGGCACGGGTACCACCCCCACCCCAAAAAAATCCTATTTCAAATTATTCTTTGGCTTACAACCGAAAGAAGAGTGTACACGTATAACAATTAAAATTGAAAATACGTGACTTTTCAACACAGAATATGGATCAATGATAACTTTATTTATAATGTTTATGTCATGTGGACAATTTCAATATTGAGATCGTCTTTTGCGTCTGCCAAGCAGCCAGCCGGAACTACCGGGCTCCTTGTGCTGTGTGACAGATAGCTGGAGGTCCAAACACACCAGCTGTTTTCCCGAGGCGTTTTCGTTCACTTTTACATTCACATGGTAGTCACCCTGAAATAATCACAATCATAAAGTCATTTCAGATATTTTAAGCACGACTGGAAATAATACACAGTTTTAAAATCACAACGGGAAATAATAATTACATCTAAGTTAAAAAAATATCATTTTCTAATTTTTTTTTTTGACACACAAGATACATGAATTGCTTTTGGGTGAGTATTGTGCATATGGAATTTTTTTTTCAAATCCTTCGTTGATTACATGTACATGTATTAATCAGTGTAAAAAAGTAATAATGAAGTAGTTATATAAATTTTTGGCTGTTGAGTACCGCTGCAAACCAGGTGAGAACTGATGGAATACTGGGGATGCTGATGGTGTAATCGTTGATACGGAGATCTCTGGGGGGCTGGGGACACTGGCTAGCATTAACTCCCACACTGCTCAGCATAGTCTGGATTTGTTTACCAATACCCCCCATTATCCCAGCCCAGTCCTCGGTGATCATTTGCTGAACCGTTGTGCAGAGATCATTGTACGTACTGAAAAAAAAAACCCTGTATTTACTACAACAGTGGTAAACTTAGCCTTCATTCTTTCTTTTTGAAAAATGGAAAACCCTCTCTCCGACACACGCAATTCAATTAAACGGGTCATATAAAGCAAAATATTTATACAATACAAACCATGTATAAATATATATATATATATAGAGAGAGAGAGAGAGAGAGATCAAAATGCGTGTTATTTACCAAGAACCGACATGGAGAAGGCATGGAATTGGAATTTCCAACCCTAAAAACGTTTTTCTTTTAACAGATAGAGACATTTTCGAGCTTCCAATGGTATTTGTAAGGCTGGCGTCAACAGAGAGATGTATGTCGCCCGGAACCTGGACAGGCATAGGAGTCACAGAAACGCTACGGATTACGACATCACTACTGGAACCTGTAAATGGAACATATTACCATACACTGTAAAAGTTTGGAGCGGAAAATTAGCAATAGTATAAATACATCTGTGTACTTAGTAATAGAAAATACTTAAACACGTAATATAACACACAAAAGGAAAATCTCTCTCTCTTTCTCTCTCTCTCTCTATCTCTCTCTCTCTCGGGAGACAAAAGCGTTGTTTTATTTGCACGTGAATTTTTCGGACCGCAGATTTTTCGTCTTTCCTTAGCCAACATTTAATATATATAGAGAGAGAGGGGGGGGGGGAGAAAGAGAGAGAAGGGTAATCTGTGTTGGATAAGTGGAAACGGGGTTAAATTAAATATTAATTAAATATTAAATTTTTTAAAGCATTTATTTGTTACAGGTTTGGCGATACACGTATTCAGGAATATATTAATTATGAATTAAATATTTTTGATATATCTTATATAAAGTTTCTGTTCTGGTAATTATATATATATATATATATATATATATATATATATATATATATATATATATATATATATATATATATATATATATATATATATATATATATATATATATATTACTTGTAATTTTTTTTTAAAATTCATTTTGTCATTTTTTAAATTATTCTTTGAAAATATATGAAAAATTAAGAGTTGATTATATCATAATTTGTATTTCTATGTCATTTTTGTCCACGTTTTGTAAATTAATTATCTTGATTTATAGTTCCACGCTAATGTCATTTAGAATTTAACGGGTGGCAGTAAATACAAAATAGTTGTCGTGTCGTAAATTTACTTCCACCCGGTAAATTCAAAATATACAACATGACATATTCAAAAACATCTTTCCTACTTAAGTTTCAAAAGTAAGACATCAAATATGCTGCACATTTATTTTTTTTTTTATCATGCAAATACATTGTAATTGAAAACTCAATTTGCAGTTTAATACTGTTTACAAACATAAAACTATACGAAATTAAACAATCTAACTGTTCAAATTCTTTAAGAAGATCTGTTCCGTTCAGTATTCATTCTCTGGGAAATTCATATTAACACTTTAAAATAAACACAAGAATCGATTTAGGAGCAGGGTAGACCTGGTCTTCTCTATTCTCCCGAAAGAACACGCAAATATATTTGCCGACTAGCCCAGGAAGCATATCAGGGAGCCGGAAGTTCATTATAGTACATTCGACAACAATAATACACATTATATAACAATACAAATGTTTGCTCTGCTCCTATTTTGTATTGATTAATGGACTTTTGAGCTTGAATACTGTTCGTTATCTCCATATATTTCATTTATGAATAACATATAACATGATGTATAACTGATGTGAAACTTGATTGGCCTGGATGAAAACCAGAGATAAAAAGGTTTTTGAAAAGAAATGCCTCTGGAAACCTTTGCCCTATAATATACGATAGACTCTAAAAATATTTTAAACAAGTACCTAGCATATAATTAAAATTATATTTTAATAAAGTTTGATGTGTCTTCTTTGAAAGACGGGCTGGAACTAATTTCTCTTGCTATTCGAACACTTCTCATAGACTCATACCACGGGACTTTATACTCCAATTTCATTGGAAAATTTATTTCCGAATCTATAAGACAATTATTTTTCCGCTAATCTCCGTACCGCGTAAATGTTAAATAACCAGTTATCAAAGAATACATACATTAAACCAATTTCAAGTCGTACAACCCATCAAAACAGGTAATGTATACTTCCTTACATCTCAAGATATTTGACCTACTCCCCATTTTTCATTCCTCATCCCCCTCCCCCTTTGATATTCTGGAAATGTTCCTCCTGTACAAAGTCAATAAAATACCTTTTGTTTAACTGTAACGTTTACTGTTTATAATTTGTGTCTTTAAAAAGATACCTGTTTAATTAAATCATTATTAGAACGAGTTTGATACACAGATATGTAGGTTCCCAGACAACAAATGCAGCGATCCACACCGTCACTGGAAGTCAACTAATTAATTAAAAACGTACCTGTGATCAATTTACAAGTTCAATAAATTTATAAACATCCTGGTGTATAATTACCACAGTCGGTCATCTGAAGTTGTGTTATTTCCGCCAAGGCCAGGGAAAGTCCCGCCACTAGACAGAAAATACTTATCCCCATCTTTTCTTCTTCACCTTCTGAATGCGACTAGAAAGCTATAGTACACGGATACACTACAGAGAACAACCCGAGTGAAATGTGCGATGAACATTCTGCGATTTTAGGAAGTTACATTAATAAGGAATATATAAATATATATAAATATTTGTTATAGTACAACAAATTATACTTAAGACATAATTATGTTTACCTGTTTTTGTCCTATGTAGGCACGTGTGTTTTCGCTTGATAACTTTTGCAGAGATGCTCATCAATAAAATATTCATTGCCTGACACGAGTTTTGTAATCATTTTATTCCTATAGTCATCTTTTGTAAAATAAAAAAGAATGGCTGATGTTATATAATTTTTTAAGATTAATATTACTTTTAAATTCACACGTATCAGTCATATATTTATGCAATAAGAGAGACACACCTCGAATATTTTGTTGGCTTGGTCTACTGTGTCTCGGAAGAAGGATGAAGGTTCATAACGATGCAAAAATGTTTCTCCACAGAGCAAACAAGACGAAAAATTAGGTCAAATAGCGCTAAATCTAAGATGTAGGATGTACGTAAAAACAGTAGATGATAGATAAGTAACATTAATGTTTCTACTTTATTTAAATGCATGGTAACAATTAAGGTATGTGTTTCTGGGATAAAATAAATATAAAAACACACCGGTATTAATGTGCAGCATTATGCTCAGATCAGTTCTATATCATAAAATGCCCATCACTCTTCCCAAATGTGTAGGTCATCATTATATGGTGATAAATATACATATAGGACATGGTATGAGATTTTTTTTAAAATCATTTCTTTGTAGCCATGAAATCACGAAAGCCTATTAGTAGCCAGTAAGAAAAAAATTACACCCTATTATCTCGTAATTACGAGAAAATTATCTCGTAATTACGAGAAAAGATATCGCATTTACGAGATAATTTTCTCATAATTATAAGAGGCAATCATCTCGTAATTACAAAAAAAATGCTCATAAATAACCGAATTGCACAAACTTCGAATATAGTTTAAGAAGCGTTTGGTTTAGTAAACGGGAAGATGTACCACGTGAATAATTTTATCAAAACGTGTTATCGCTAAGTAATCCAAAACAAAGAATTTCGTACATTCAAAGAATAAACAATAGTGTAAATATATAAGGAATAACTATCTGCGCTTTTAATATCTAAGAGGAAATCACAGACACGTAGTATCTGGGGGGTGGGAGGAGGGGTGGGGCTTCCTACCTTCCTCTTTTTTTGAACTTATCTTGTATTGTTGATTTACTACATGTATGAAGGTGTTCATTGAAAGGCCGATTACCCCCCCCCCCCCACACACACACACACACAAACACACTTTCTGTTGTAGTATAGTCGCAAACTCCCATATTCAAAAAAATATTTTAAAAAGTTTACCCCCCCCCCCCAAAAAAAGGATTTTCAAGATTGGATAATACCCCCTTTTTGGTCAAAGTTTTTCTTTTAAGTTTTCAGATATCTCTAAGGCTGCTCCCTTTCAAAAAAAACGATGCTATGTTTTAGAACGATTTAGAATTTAATTTCAAAGATCATTGTTATCTAGACCTAAGCATTAAGTCTTTCTATGTACGTAAAATTATTCTAGGGAAAACTCCTCCCCACGCCCCGGTTTATTCACCAGTAGAAGTTATATTAGAAAAGTTAATAGATTTATTTTTATTTTTTTAAATTTTTTATTTATTTTTTTTTAAATTTATTTATTTTATTTATTTATTTTATTTATTTATTTATTTATTTATTTATTTATTTATTTTTTTATTTTTTTTTTTTTTTTTTTTTTTTTTTTTTTTTTTTTAATTTTTTTTTTATTTATTTATTTTTTTTTTTGCATAGTGAAAAGGCATCCATAATTTAAAACAGCACAAAAAGAGCGGAGAAAATCTTTTAAACAGAGAAATATATCATGTGACCATTGTGTGTCTTATCTCGTAATTATGGAATTACGTAATTATGAGATAATTTTTGAAGGTCGGCGCAATATTTTCATTCACATTTTCTTATATGATTGTTCACTTTCATACGAATCTAAGTTAACAATACAGTAATAATGTCAAAGGATTTTTGACACATTTTTTCATTGCTGTTTATTATTTATGCAACGCCTAGTTTGGGTATATGAAAGATTTGAAAAAGAGAGAAATCTCGTGTTTGACTGATGAGTGTAAATTTTGAAAGTGATGCAGATAAGCACCAGGAAGGATAAACAGAATATATTCTGATAACAGTACTTAGAGGTAAGTTCTCATCAAAGAACAGTTGCTTTTGCTGATTTTTTTTATTGAAAGACTGATATGAATATATGCGAAACATCCCGAGGAAAATTGGAGTGTTGAGTGAAGTTCTTTAATTGCCAGCTAATTAATTTTGCCTTTAAATAAAAAAATTACTGTCCTACAATACAATTGCATTGTAATGCTTGATGTACTGTCTAATTAAAACATACTAGGTCAATTTTTATTATTGGGCAAAACAGTGCAAAAAATATAAGCTTTCCTGTTTGACTGATGAGTGAATATTTTGAGACTCAAACAAAGCGCCGATGACTTTGTAGAACAATCAAAGACGCTTTTCAATACTGCTTAGCAGTACTTGTTTAGTGAGATAAGCTCACACTAAGTCCTTTACAACGCGACATTACCCGCAACCGTTATTTACTCTGACTTTAACACATGATCATCTGTGAATGGCTCTCTAACGTCTTATATATAGTATACAAGCCATTGCTTAAACATTTACATAATAAAAAGCAGAAATCAATGATCGTTTTGTCTACGTTGTTCAAAGGGACATAATTTGAGTTATCGAACTTTGAAACAAAACTTACATTATGCAAATTTCCAAATTAAACATTCAATCACAAGGACACATTGTATATAAAAGCTGTCTTTGGAGGGTGGATGGTGGGGAATATTTTTAACACATTGACAAGTAAAATAATTGTGCTTGTTTAAATACAAGAAGAATTGCACCATACTGCACTCTGCTGCAATACAATGCGATACATTGTGATGCCTGCCAAATTGTCCAATCAAAATTAACTTAGTCAATTTTTTTTTCTTAATTGAATTTAAAAACTGATTGAATACACACACTTTTTTTCATTTTACGCTTTGAAAGAAAAGGTTTCAAAAGTAGACTAGAGAGCATTTCTTTTATTCTCATATTCTTAAATATTTGTTTTCTTTGATATGAATCAAAATTAACAATCAGTAATTAAGTGGAAGGACTTTCGTAAAGTTACGTGTTACTTTTTTTTTTTTATCGAATGACTAGTTTGAGTATGCGCAAAATATCCAAAAGAAATGAACACTCCTTTTTGACCGATGAGTGGATTTTTTGTTTGCAAGAGAATTTATACTATTTACCATAATAAGAATTTAACTGTATTTTATTGCACTGCACTACAGTGCAATGTCAATCAATAAAATGAAGTCCATTTTTGTTTTACATTATGGTATTGAAAATAAGGTGTAAATTAACATATTTTCCAATATATTTTTATTTTTAAAAAAGTTTTGAAAAACAGACTGGATGGAATATTTTCATTCACATTTTCTTATATGATTGTTCTCTTTCATACGAATCTAAATTAACAATGCAGTAATAAAATCGAAGGATGTTTTAACAATTTTTTTCATTGCTTTTTATTATTTTATGCAACGCCTAGTTTGGGTATATGAATGATTGAAAAAGAGAGAAATCTCGTGTTTGACTGATGAGTGTAAATTTTGAAAGTGATGCAGATAAGCACCAGGAAGGATAAACAGAATATATTCTGATAACAGTACTTAGAGGTAAGTTCTCATCAAAGAACAGTTGCTTTTGCTGATTTTTTTTTTTTATTGAAAGACTGATATGAATATATGCGAAACATCCCGAGGAAAAATGGAGTGTTGAGTGAAGTTCTTTAATTGCCAGCTAATTAATTTTGCCTTTAAATAAAAATATAACTGCCCTACAATGCATTGCATTGTAATGCTTGATGTACTGTCTAATTAAAACACACTAGGTCAATTTTTATTATTGGGCAAAACAGTGCAAAATATATAAACTTTCCTGTTTGACTGATGAGTGAATATTTTGAGACTCAAACAAAGCGCCGATGACTTTGTAGAACAATCAAAGACGCTTTTCAATACTGCTTAGCAGTACTTGTTTAGTGAGATAAGCTCACACTAAGTCCTTTACAACGCGACATTACCCGTAACCGTTATTTACTCTGACTTTAACACATGGTCATTTGTGAATGGCTCTCTAACGTCTTATATATAGTATACAATCCTGTTACTCGTTAGCATTGCTTAAACATTTACATAATAAAAAGCAGAAATCAATGATCGTTTTGTCTACGTTGTTCAAAGGGACATAATTTGAGTTATCGAACTTTGAAACAAAACTTACATTATGCAAATTTCCAAATAAACATTCAATCACAAGGACACATTGTATATAAAAGCTGTCTTTGGAGGGTGGATGGTGGGGAATATTTCTAACACATGGACAAGTAAAATAATTGTGCTTGTTTAAATACAAGAAGAATTGCACCATACTGCACTCTGCTGCAATACAATGCGATACATTGTGATGCCTGCCAAATTGTCCAATCAAAATTAACTTAGTCAATTTTTTTTTTCTTAATCGAATTTAAAAACTGATTGAATACATACACTTTTTTTCATTTTACGCTTTGAAAGAAAAGGTTTCAAAAGTAGACTAGAGAGCATTTCTTTTATTCTCATATTCTTAAATATTTGTTTTCTTTGATATGAATCAAAATTAACAATCAGTAATTAAGTGGAAGGACTTTCGTAAAGTTACGTGTTACTTTTTTTTTTTATCGAATGACTAGTTTGAGTATGCGCAAAATATCCAAAAGAAATGAACACTCCTTTTTGACCGATGAGTGGATTTTTTGTTTGCAAGAGAATTTATACTATTTACCATAATAAGAATTTAACTGTATTTTATTGCACTGCACTACAGTGCAATGTCAATCAATAAAATGAAGTCCATTTTTGTTTTACATTATGGTATTGAAAATAAGGTGTAAATTAACATATTTTCCAATATATTTTTATTTTTAAAAAAGTTTTGAAAAACAGACTGGATGGAATATTTTCATTCACATTTTCTTATATGATTGTTCTCTTTCATACGAATCTAAATTAACAATGCAGTAATAAAATCGAAGGATGTTTTAACAATTTTTTTCATTGCTTTTTATTATTTTATGCAACGCCTAGTTTGGGTGTATGAATGATTGAAAAAGAGAGAAATCTCGTGTTTGACTGATGAGTGTAAATTTTGAAAGTGATGCAGATAAGCACCAGGAAGGATAAACAGAATATATTCTGATAACAGTACTTAGAGGTAAGTTCTCATCAAAGAACAGTTGCTTTTGCTGATTTTTTTTATTGAAAGACTGATATGGATATATGCGAAACATCCCGAGGAAAATCGGAGTGTCGGGTGAAGTTCTTTAATTGTAAGCTAATTAATTTTGCCTTTAAATAAAAATATAACTGTCCTACAATACATTGCATTGTAATGCATGATGTACTGTCTAATTAAAACATACTAGGTCAATTTTTATTATTGGGCAAAACAGTGCAAAAAATATAAGCTTTCCTGTTTGACTGATGAGTGAATATTTTGAGACTCAAACAAAGCGTCGATGACTTTGTAGAACAATCAAAGACGCTTTTCTATACTGCTTAGCAGTATATACTGCTTATCTAAGCTCACACTAAGTCCTTTACACGCGACATTTCCCCTAAAGCTCCAATTTTCGCCGTAAATTATCACAAAATCGAAGATTATTAGTATTTAAGTAGATTGTGATTTTTTAAATCCCACTCATTTCTGTGTAAAATCTTATAAATCTTTCAGAAAATTCTGGAAACATATTTTTAAAGGACATGTTTTTAAAAGAAACAGATTATAGCAATTTCCTGTTTACTGCCAATTTTATTTATAAAACCGGTTCTACCCTATAACTTTAGAACGGGTCAACGTGCACCACGTGTCTTGAATTTAAATCACAATAACATAGGTAGGGGTGTAGGACACTGTGCTCGAACACGTTGGATCATCAGGCATCGATTTGAACAAAATTTTCTTTACTTACATAGACGTGCTCATATTGTCAATTTCGTTTTGAAACCTTTGTTATAAATAGTGTACTTATGCTATACAGAATAAAAGGGAGATGGGAAAGAGTATTCTCGTATTTTTATATTCATGTGATTGTCATTTATTTATCTAGTCTAATTTTAGAGGTATTCTTACAATGTTAGCTCCACCTCTCATGCATATACTTAATTTTTAATCAAGGAAGATAAGTATTTGGAAAGCAGTAAGGAAAGAAATGTAAAATAATTTTTTAAAGATTTGAATCTTCTTTAAATACTGTACACATAAAAGTTGTTAAAATAGAGATTCTGACAGTTTCAGTTAAGAAAAACCTCGTTTAAAAAAGACGTACCACACCTATATATATAAACTCTACGAGGGACGAAAGCTCTCGTCTTGGAAAAAATACCCCCATCCACTTCAGCGCCTATTTCTGGAGTCTAAAACATTAATTTATTTCGTTGTCATGGTTCTGTCCCCTACAGTGATGATTTTCCTAAATAAATGTTGATGCGTTTGTCAGTCGTAAACACTTTTTTTTAAAGCATTTACAGTATCGAAATATTTTTTTGTCATTCCGATACAGATTGAATTTCCAACCCATACAGTATAATAATAACACATGTACAAGTATCTAATGTACTCAGAATTACATGGAGCACCCCTTCTCAGAATCGCAGTCATTTACACTTTTCAGAGAAAATGCACTGGCAAATTTAAATTACCATTTTCTTCTACGTTAATTAATCTACACAAACATATATGGCATGCTTGTTTTCATTTTATTTTATATCCATCAGGCCCGTAGAACGCAGGGGAGGGGGGGGGGGCTCACTTTTTACTAAGTATGGTATTTTGCAAAAGTAAATGTTCCTTTAGATGCTGGTTGTCCCCCCCCCCCCTTTTTTTTTGTTGCTGCAAGGTCGAGCACTGAAACTGGAAAAATCCAGGATTTGAACAGATAAATCATTTTTTTAAAATTAATATTATTTTGGGAAGTTGCCCCCCCCCCCCACTTTTTTTGGACAGTTAAGTCCCCCCTTTTGAAATCGTTACTACGGACCTGTTCAGTCGTACTAGCATCAAAACTGCTCGCCGACCACAGGGTTCGTCACAATGAATTTTCTTACCCTACTTTTTATAGTGTAGAGGTCATCAAAAAGAAAGAAGACAGATTGATATGAATTATCGTGACAAGCCTGGAAAATTCGTCTCATATTATGAAGTGATATGTACTAGTCTCTGGCGGAATATATTCGCTAAAATTAATTAAAACTGGAAAAAATATCGTTATGTTTTTATGGAAAATAAAATTTACACAAATCTGAATCATTCGCCGCGATATATTAACATAAGAACTGAATTTTCAAACCTAGTATTTTATTAAAATTTTGTCCAAGATTAGTACGTACCACTTCGTGGTGTGACTGAGGCGAATTTTCCAGTCGCCGAGCAGAGTTTTGACGCTGTTTACGGAGATGAAAGAAAAAAAAGACCAGCATGCCATGTATGGTTGAGTAGATAAATTATCGTAGAAGAAAATGATAATAAACGCATTGCATTTTCTCTGAAGGTGTAAATATGATTCAATCTAATTAAAATTAGATCATTTACTCTCCCGTATTTTGTTATGTCGTTGTAAGGGATTCTTTAATTTTAATTAGATTGTTATTATATTAACACTGATTGAGGTTTAGAAATTTTATTAAGAAACAAGACAGTTCCTGGTGTTTAATCATATTATTTTATAGCTCTATTAATTTTTTTTTTATTTTAGAACTCTTAGCCATTCAATCTGGCTTAAAGCATGAATAAAATAAATTTTGATTATACTTTTTTATAAAAAAAAAAAAAAGGATGATATAATTAAAGTCGTTTAAAATATGAGTCGTTTTATTAAAAAATGTTGAATTTTTATGTAAATTTGGTGAAACAAAAACCTGTAATCTTGAATTAATCATGCAAATTCATCAAACACCTTTGAAATTCCTGAGTAATTCAATGAAAAGAGGATAATTATGTACATTGTATGTTCAATTGGAATTTCATGGCTAATTTGTGTCTGCAGAGAAAGCCAGTTACATAAATCACAACAATAAATTACATCTGAATTGTTTTCTCCATGTTCTTATCATCAAAGCAAGTTTAATTGAGTGTCGGAGCTGTCTAGAACCTCCCCAGATGCTGATATCATTTGGACTGCCCTGTGTTACAACACAGCTTTTAGATAAACTTCTGCATAGCAGGTTGTAGACAAGTACCTAGGCTTTATTTGGAACATAAATTGACCAGATGCAGATTTTATTATCAGCCTAATATTTAACAATTTCTGTAAATTTTGTCATTCTTAGGAGGGTAAAATGCAATTTTGTTATGTAATAATTGCATAATGGTCTCAGACTTGTGAATTATTTTTTGTTTGTTGTGAAGAACAATGCATATACTCTCCACGGATACAAAATTGGTTGCCAGGCTTAGTCTATTAAGGATGAAATTCTGCTTCAAAATATGCACAAAAAACTTCTGTCAGAGTGCTCAGTGTGTATTCTTGACTGCTCTGGAGTAAGGGAGATAAATGCATCATATCTTCAGCAATAATGGGAATTAGATCCCCAGACTTCAGGATGTTAGTGACAGTTATTTAAGAAATCTCAGGTGCAAAAATGAAAAAAAATCTGACAACTTCAAAGGTCCTTCAAGGTATCACACCGGTAATTGACCAATCAAAATGAATTGTAGTTCCATACATAATAAAGAAATATTTTTTTATTGTGAGAATTTTTTTTAATTTCCATTATTCTATTTTTACATTTTTGGTATCTGTGCTTAGGATATTTTATGTACTTTGTAAAATATTAAAGGTTTTTGACAGGAACTATTTCTTTCGGGGCATAGGAGGCCACTTCCTGGGGTGCACACAGGATGTTTATAAACACATTGAATACACGTGGTTTTGAGGGTATTCCTGTTTGCGGATGGAAAAAATCAGAAAATGCCGTGTAGGTACCCTATTTTTTGGTGTCGGCTGATGTGACTGGTAACGTTTAACACTTCCTGCTAAATATTTTTTCATGAATTCGAATACCTGATTTTTAATGATTTTTTATTCTATATAGAATTACATAGTGAAAACAATTACCGGTGTGATACTTTTCTAGGGTTTTCTGCAAGTTTAGTAGGTCCCAGTGGCAGTGGGCCACAAATCAAAGACGTCATTTGACTGAGCACTTCTTACATATGACATGTATGAAGAATCCCATTCATTTTCAACTATGTTACGTCGAAATAATTAACCAAAAATTTAAAATATTTATTTATTATGTCCATTGCGAAAGAATATACTTTTTAATTCGTGGAAACCAAATTACCCATTGAGACCAATTTACGTTGGGGCCGATTTTATTGGAAACCGGTTAACTTTTTTGTTTTTCCGGTATCACGTGATTGGTAATTTACACAGGCCAGTCAGAGAAGCAGGATATCGGACATCGTCATGACACGTAAACTTTTACATTAAGATGACAATGACATTTGGAGAGAGTAAGTTATGATTTTACACCAAAAAGAGTATTAAAAATGATTGATAAGCTTGCCTAACGCATACTGTAATGTATCGATGTATATACAAAGACGAATAAATCGATACCTAACCGTCCATTGACATAATATTATAAACACTGATAAATAACGGTGTTTACAAATTTTCAAATACATAAGACCTACATGTCGCTGTAGTATACGAGCTCGTATCGCAGACCTGATAATGCTGTTCTGGTGCATAAGTCGTATGTCGTACTATTGGGGAAAAGGGGGGGGGTCACGGTTGTTAGAACTATAGGCCTACAGTCTCGCAGAGTACACTGTACAGTATCGTTAAGACTAGTTAACAGGTTAAAATGAAACTGACTCATGGACCAGAACATTCTAATAAGACCTAATCTAATGACGTGTATCTGTGACCACAGACACCCATGCAGCTCTTAACCCCACCACCCATCCCCCAAATCCGTAACTACCAAAATACAATGAAACTTACGAAAGTCTCCATTTTCTCAAAAATATGTGAGTTCTCTGTCAATTTCATCTATATGTCATTTTGAGCAATCAGTTTGTACTTTTTTAAGTTTAAAATTTGGCCATGTATGGTATAATAAAAATACACAAGGTAAGAAACAAGAATTATAAACAAACAGGGGGTTCCCCACTTCAATGCTGATTTCCAAGGTACTAACAGTGTTACCTATCATATTTATGCAAGCACTCTGTCAATCTCCTACTAGTCTCTTTAACCTAAACCCAATCCTTAGTGTTTTATATGCTGCTGGGGCTGACAAATCCCATTGCCTGACACCCGGGGCTAGTGAATTTTAAGGGTGGGCAAGTGGAATTTTATCAACAATTTGCCCATGGGCAAGTGACTTTAAAAAAATAAAATCCATATGCAAGTCATAGATCTAAAGCTTTGTACAGGGGTTTGCATGATCTTCTCATTACTTGTATTCCATTTTTTTAAAATATATATATATATAAATATGATAATAGGTTATGGTGGGACAAGGAAATATTCAGGTAGGGAATTTTGACCATGCACTTGCCCTTGGATAAGTGCCCTAAAAAATCTATTTGTCAGCCCCAGTGCTGTAATCAAGGGGTTTATTAAACAGGCACATACAATTTTCTCCATTGACAATGATACAGGAGGTTTGGTGTTATCACCTCGTTTCGCATCATCTGTTTGGTTGACAGATTACAGTGTAAATAAAAGTCTAATCAGATAAAGCGAAACAGATCAGCTTACATCAGAACCTCCTTCAAAAATCCAAGAAAGAAGTTGTTATAATACAGTCAATTTTCAAATTCTTGCCATTCAATTTGTAACCACTCTCGCAATAATGCCGTGATTTTCAAAGAAAGTTTTTCCAGCTATTCTCTTTCTTACGCCAAATTCACATACCGCCGTCCGCCACCCTGTATTCACAACAAACGTCCATTTCAAAGTGTCAAATACTTATCTTGATATACCGCCACAGGTGCAGTGAAGCGGCTGGTTGACACTATCTAGATCACCGTTGTAAAGTATGTAAAGCCGGACAAGGTACATGTAATTAAGGAGGAGAAGGACCTTGAGCTGAAAAAATACTTGTCATTCAATTTTTTTCATATTTTGTATATTTCTGATTAAGTATGTCTCACATATCTTAAAGCAGTTATATCATTAGGTTTCTTACCTTATTTTGGAGATATCGATTGACAAATACTATGCCCTACAGTATCTAAGTGGCGTTTTTATTCTCCGTGTTTCCGGGCGCATTACTCTGTCCATAATGGGATTTTTTAAGCATACATAAAAAATATCAAAGTGGACATGTATCTTTTAAAATATTTCAGAGTATAACTAGGATTTATAATTCGAAAAAGCAAGTTCTGTCTATCACACTGCATCTGGATAGTGAAAATTACGCACTTTTTAAGACAACTTAAACAATAAAAAATGTAATTTACAAAAAATTCTATCATTCAATATTTTTTAATTTACGTTGAAATGCAAATCCTTCAAATTATTGATTAACTGTAAAAGTTTCGAATGATGAAGCTGACCTCATTATTTCACAGGACATCGTTAAAGAGGACATAAGCATGACAAAAACGTGTCATGTTACGTTTCTCGATTATGGGAAAAACCAACTATGACGTCACACGTAAGCTAAATAAGCGAAATAAGATATACCTACATAAGATTTCCATCATCAGCCATACAAAAATAAATTTTGTGTTCCCTATTTCTCAAAATATTTCATCATATACTGATTATGACCTGTTTTTACATAATAGTACTGCCGCTCTGTTAACCGATTATGATCTTGCTGTACTAACAGATCGTGTATGACGTCACCGACTTGTTGGACGCGCAGTTTAGGGAAACAGAGGAGTGGATCAATCTTTTTCATAATTTGTTAATGTTTACAAGAATGTTAAAACTTTTTAATTTTTTTATATAAGATGGTAATTAAAGTTTAAAAATTGTCAAAAAATTATACAAGAACTGATGCTTTACACGTTTTGCACTTGTATAAACAGAGACTATGACGTAGTTAAACAGAGTCATGTGACCATGTGTCCTTCATCCCCTTTAATAAATAATAATTTTGACATCAACTGTTATTATAAATTTTGTTTTCTGTTTAATAAAAATTGAGTTAGTCATGGCTTTGCCATGAAAGTGGTTGTAAACAGTTGTTAAAGTTTGCCGAAAATGAAATTATTTTGGTGATCTCTACTCTAAACAATGCAAAGTTTGCTTTAAAAATAATGATTAAGTATTAATTGTGAAAGTTTCAGCATCAATGATGCCATAAACAAATGTATTTACAGGAATTCATTTTGCATGCTATCTGCAATAGATCACGACATTGACACAACAGGTTTTTTTTTCAATATCAGACAAGCAGATATGCATATGTGTACATGTCTTTATTTCATGGTTGTGTATTTTGTTTTAAAATGAAATTTTACATAAAAAAAATTACTTGAAGCATTTTCAAAGAAGATGGGCGAACAAGGCTAGTGAAGTCACTGAAGTGCCTATAGTAGTGCAACAAACATGAAGGTGAAAAATTAAATCTCAATTATAACAAAATTTTCTTCGATATTTCATCTAACATTAAAGTATACTTTATGTAAAATCTACACAATTTTCTAAAATTTCACAAAGATTGAAAATATTTGCCTATGAAATAGCATACATGCACTAAAGAGGGCAAGAAGGATCATTTTTTCATACCATAATTTAATTTTTCGATATGATCGGGTCTTCACTCCATTTTTTGAAAGTTTATCCTAGGAATGCGTGATTTTATCAGTATACCGGTATATCACGATTTTTTATTGCGTGATACGTATCGTGATACAAAGACTAAAATATCGGTATTTGGTATATAGCTATAAATTCCGGAAATTATTCATTTATTTGTTTAAACAATTGAATGACAATTACAAAATGTTGAAAACAGTTAAATAATGGCATCAAAACATGCTTTATATTAAATAAATGAAAATTAAAAAAGTAAAGTTATGTTTTTATAACATATTTTTAAGAAATATTATCAAAATTAATTTGAAATTGTAGTAAAAATTGTGTGTAAAAATATCATGATTTATCGTGGTATTTTGGGGGGGAAATCGTGATATATCATGATACGAAATTTTTGCCGATACCCATCCCTAGTTTATCCTTAAAGTTTGTGTAAAAATGTACATTTTTTGGCTAACAAAAACATGGAACAAAGACCCACTATACCTAAAAAATACACTTTTATGACACAGCATTCGTATCTTTCTGAGAAATACTTGAAGTCCATTTAGTCAAGGGTCATATCACAAACATGATTTAAATGCCGCTATTCATCAAGAGTTGTTGTAGTGCAGTGGTTAGCGTGCTGGACTTGAAGGAAAATGATACTCAGAGTTTTTATTGCTAGGGGTTCGAACCCCGTGAGTAAAACATTAATTTTTAATAACAGAAAAAATTTTGCAGAGAAAATTTTCCTCAGAAAAGTTGTTATCATACATAAATTTCAATAATGAGAACTTTACTCTAAATGCTAAATTCACAAATTGAATATGAATTTTATATATCTGAAGCTATAGGCATTCTGCATGCCTTGTTCACCCATCTCCTTTAGAAATATGTTTTTGTATAATAGTAAGAATAAAAACTCTAAATGTTGTATTTCCAAGAATGGTAACTCTATATCTTGTTTCCCCAAAGATGGGAAATTCAATTCATTGAAAAATTTGTTATACTGCCTTGATTTCTAAATTACGAAAGGTGGCGGTTTATCGAGAATTAACTGTGTAACAACTTCATTGTTGGATTTTTCCTCTCAAATTTCTTTGTATTTATTTAGAGTCGGACAAGTAAACATTGACTTCTGACAGGTAAAATTTGTTGGCAATTTGTCCCATTGACAAGTGGATATCTTAGTTACTGTTGAGCCCTGTGATTACAGACAGTGCTATATCACACGAATAATGTTTTTATTTTTCTGTTTAAACAAAAATAGCCAATTTTTTTTTTATTTTTTAAATACATTGTACTTCAGTTTTGATAATAAAGCTAAACAGTTTTCATTTTTTTGGTCTATAGTTGGACAAGTCGAAATTGCATTTGGACAAGTAACATTTATTGGCAACTTGTACAATGGACAAGTTGATATTTTAGGTAGTATTAAGCCTTGTTCACATTATTTAGTATTTGAGTTGTACATGTACAGTGCCATTATTTAAATGTTAATGACAAGTCTTATGGTAAAATGGCTTTATTGTAACTTTCTGGTCTCTTCAATATTTATTATGCAGTCGACTTAAATAGTTTAGTACACTGTACATGTACAGGGCTCTCAAACCACTTTTTGGGACTGGGGCCAGGGTCATAAAAATTGGGAAAATAACTGAACTTTAGGGGAATTTGGGAAAATCATTAATAGACATTATACATTAAAATCATGTATTGGGTTTCTGGTGTTTATCAACTAAATTTTTGTTTTGCAAAATAGAGGAATATGAATAACAAGATTAGTAATTTCATATCTTGCTAACTCACAGTTCTTTTTTTTTTTGGGGGGGGGGGGGGGAGTGACAATTGGGAAAATAAATGCATTCAATTTGGTAAAAAAAAAAAAACTTCTTTTAATTTGGAATGGGGGCTTTGAATGGCCCCAGTTATTGAGAATCAAGAACCCTGTTGTACAATGTGAACTCTCTAGACATTATGTATTAGTATTACAGTGTGATATCTGGTTAGACTAAATTGATAGCAAACCTGCAAAATTGTGAATATCCTGCTGAATATTCTTTTTTGATTCTCATGCATTAAATTTAATATACCTGTAATTGTATATATTCCATTTATTTTATTTGATATTATTCAATTAAGAATGATAATTTTTTTGCACTTCATGGTGTCTTAAATCACAAATGTATATATAACAAATTGAACAACTGGCATAATGAAAATTTCAAAAAAGAACTGTTAGGTGTGAAAATTTTATGATCCAACTGTTTAAAATATATGTACCATGAAGGAGAATTTTCTTTTCTTGAGATCAGCTTTTAATGACACCATTTTTCCTATCCATTAAGCATTATGTGCTTTAGTTTATCTCAAATGTGCATTTAGTATTAGTTTTTTTTATGTCTTTTTAAAAAAAAAAAGCACACCTTTGTGATACATAAATATTTCATTTAAATGCTCACTGAACTTTATAAATGTACATGCATGTAGTCCAATATTGTTATATAAACATTATGTTTATATACCGGACCAATTGTTGTGCATGACAGACTTGGGACTAGAAAAGAATAAGTGGCTCAGGGCTAGTAAAATTTGAAGAGTGACCAGAAAAGCACTGATGCAATCATAAACAGTATAATTTGTATTATATTTGGTCGTTTTGATCTTTACCTTAAAACTTGGCCATTTTTTGAAACAAATTAAGTGTTTGACAAGCAGAACTGAGTTTTAATGAGTAACCAGGGTATTTTTTTTTTCCCTGTGTATCCTGGATATTATGGGTAAAGGGGATTCAATATTGTTTAACTGTAATGTCACAATCTGGATAATTAAGAACTAGTAAAAATTTAGTGGCATATTTTAAAAATCTCTTAAGAACCACTGAGCCATGTAAAAGCTTCCTGAATGAATGTATATTCAAAATGGTTCAAATCATGGCCCCAGGTAGGGTGTGGCCAAATTAAAGGATTAATGTTTTACATGGGATATATATATTTGAAAAGATCTTCAAAAATCGAAGATCCAAAATATGGCTGAAATATTGCCGACTCGGCGTAAAACAACAATAATAATTATAGTCAAAAATCTTATAAGATCTTCAAGATTAGCAGGGCCATGATAAGTCATATGAATATTCAAGATATATTTAAAGAAAGAGTGGGATGGCGAAATTTTATAAGCAACATACAGTACTTTCTGACTTTTTAAGCTCACCTGAGCAGAAGGCTCAAGTGAGCTTTTCTGATTAGAATTTGTGCATTGTCCCATTTGTCATTGTCATAAACTTTTCACATTTTCATCTCCTTCTCAAGAACCACTTGGTCAGTTTCAACTAAACTTTAACAAAGCATCCTTGGGTAAAGGGGATTCAAGTTTGTTCGAATGAAGAGGACGTGGTCCTCTTTGAAGTGGAGATAAATAAAAATTCATGAATAATTAATGGCATTTTGAAAAAACTTATTGAATTCTTTTCAAGAACCAATGGGTCAGAAAAGATGAAACTTATGTGATAGCATCATTACATAGTGAAGATTCAGGTTTGTCTAAATTATGACCCCCCAAGGGGTATAGGGCCAGAATGGGCAATCAAAGTTTTACATAGGAAAGATCTCTAAAAATCTTCTCAAGAAGTGCAAAGCCATTGTTAGTCAAATTTATATGAAAACATACCCAGATAGTGTAGATTCAAGTTTGTTTTAATAATGACTCCCAGGGGTAAGTGGGGCCACAATGGGCAGTGATTGTTCTACATAGGATAATACATGTATATAGGGAAAAAAATCTTTCAAAGATCAGCAAAGCCATAGTTAGTATTATTTATACAGAAGCATCCTCAGATAGTGTAGATTCAAATTTGTTCATATCATGACCCCCAGGGGGTAGGGTGGAGCCACAATGGGTGATCAAAGTTTTACCAAGGCCTATTAAGGAAAAATCGTTAAAAATCTTCTCAAGAACATCAAAGGAAAAATCGTTAAAAATCTTCTCAAGAACATCAAAGGCATGATAAGTCATATTGATATGGAAGCATCCTCAGGTATTGTAGATTTAAATTATTCAAATCATGACCCCCAGGGGTAGGGTGGAACCACAATGGGAGATCAAAGTTTTACATAGGAATATATAGGAATTTTTTTCGAAAATCTTTTTAAAAACAAAGCAAAGCTATGATTAGTCATATTTATATGGAAGCTTCCTCAAGTAGTGAAGATTCATGTCTGTTCAATTGATGATCCCCAGTGGTAGGGTAGGGCCACATTATGTAATCTAAGTTTTACATAGGAATACAATATGGAGAAAAAGCTGCTAATGAACTGAGGGTCATGGCCAGGGCATAATGGTTCAGGTGAGCATTGTGGCCCATGTGATTCATTTCATTTTGATGATCACAGTTGCCAAGGTTACTGATCACATTTTTTCTGTTGTCCGTCTGTAAACTTTTCACATTTGCATTCGACTTCTTCTCAAGAATCATTAGGCCAATTGTGACAAAGATTGGCACAAAGCATCCTTGGATTAAGGGATTCAAGTTTATTCAAATGAAGGGCCACATCCTTTTACAAGGGGAGATAATTAAGAATAAGTGAAAATTTATTGACTTAAAAAAAATCTTCTCAAGAATCGTCGAGCAAGACAAGTTGAAACTTACATTTGAAAGCTTCATTTAACATTGTGTAGATTCAAGTTTGTTTAAATCATGATCCTTTTGGGTAGGGTGGAGCCACAATGGATGATCAAAGTTTTACGAAAGAAAATAAAGTGAAAAAAAAAATCAGCTTATGAAGAACAGCAGGTAAAAGTAACTTAGGTGAGCACTGTGGAACATGGACCACTGTTGATTTTGGATTTTTGGTGTTGCAATGGTTACTTAGAAACGAAATTTCTCTCAAAAATTTCTGAAAAGGCTACATGTACTCCTCTTAGAGTTTTTGCCTGATTTGAAAAAAAAGCTTGTCATACAAAGAGACTAAACGAAGAATTCTTATCCATTTATTACTGTTGCCATAGTTTTAATAAAAAAAAGAGCTACTTTTGAAGTTTTCTTTGTCTTTGTTAAAAGTAGAAATCTGTAGAGCTACATTACATCTGGTTTCTGTCAATAAAGCAATCTTTTAAAAGAAACATATTGAAAGCCTTTGTCTGAAAGTCGTCATATTTTATACAATGTTGGCTAAGGTTAAAAGGTGCCCATTTTGTTTTTAGCTCACCTGAGCTGAAAGCTCAAGTGAGCTTTTCTGATCACATTTTGTCCGGCGTCCATCTGTCTGTCCGTCTGTCTGTCTGTCCGTCTGTCTGTCTGTCTGTCTGTAAACTTTTCACATTTTCGACTTCTTCTCAAGAACCACTGGGCCAATTTCAACCAAACTTGCCACAAAGTATCCTTGGGTAAAGGGGATTCAAGTTTGTTCAAATGAAGGGCCACACCCTCTTTCAAGGGGAGATAATTAGGAATTAGTGAAAAAATAATGGCAACATTTAAAAATCTTCTTCTCAAGAACCATAGGGCCAGAAAAGATGAAACTCATGTGGAAGCATCCTCAGGTAGTGTACATTCAAGTTTGTTCAAATCATGACCCCTGGGGGTAGGGCGGGGCCACAATGGAGGATCAAAGTTTTACATAGAAATATATAGGAAAAATCTTTAAAAATCTTCTTCTCAAGAACAGCAAAGCCATGATGAGTCATATTTATATGGAAGCATCCTCAGGTAGTGCAGATTCAAATTTGTTCAAACCATGACCCCCGGGGGTAGGATGGGGCCACAATGGAGGATCAAATTTTTACATAGAAATATATAGGAAAAATCTTCTTCTCAAGAACAGCAAAGTCATGATGAGTCATATTTATATGGAAGCATCTTCAGGTAGTGTAGATTCAAGTTTGTTAAAATCATGACCCCAGGGGGTAGGATATGGGGCCACAATGGAGGATCAAAGTTTTACATAGAAATATATAGGAAAAATCTTTAAAAATCTTCTTCTCAAGAACAGCAAAGCCATGAAGAGTCATATTTATATGGAAGCATCTTCAGGTAGTGTAGATTCAAGTTTGTTAAAATCATGACCCAAGGGGGTAGGGCGGGGCCACAATGGGGGATCAAAGTTTTACATAGAAATATATAGGAAAAATCTTTAAAAATCTTCTTCTCAAGAACAGCAAAGCCATGATGAGTCACATTTATATGGAAGCATCCTCAGGTAGTGTAGATTCAAGTTTGTTCAAACCATGACCCCAGGGGGTAGGCGTGGCCACAATGGAGGATCAAAGTTTTACATAGAAATATATAGGAAAAATCTTTAAAAATCTTCTTCTCAAGAACAACAAAGCCATGATGAGTCATATTTATATGGAAGCATCCTCAGGTAGTGTAGATTCAAGTTTGTTCAGATCATGACCCCAGGGGGTAGGGCAGGGCCGCAATGGACTATCAAAGTTGTGCATAGAAATATATAGGAAAAATCTTCTTCTCAGGAACAGCAAAGCCCTGATTGTTCATATTTATATGGAAGCATCCACAGGTAGTGTAGATTCAAATTTATTCAAATCATGACCGCCGGGGTGGGGCGGGGCCACATGGAGTATCATAGTTTTACATAGAAATGTATAGGAAAAATTTTAAAAATCTTCTTCTCAGGAACAGCAAAGCCCTGATTGATCATATTTATGTGGAAGCATCCTCAGGTAGTGTAGATTCAAATTTGTTCAAATCATGACCCCTGTGGGTAGGATGGGGCCACAATGGAGGATCAAATTCTTAAATAGAAATATATAGGAAAATATCTTCTTCTGAAGAACTGCAAACCATGATTAATCATTTTGAAATGGAAGCATTCTCAGGTAGTGTAGATTCAATTTTGTTCAAATGATGACCCCCAGGGGTTGGATGGCGCCCATTGGGGGATTGAAAGTTTTACATAAGAACATATTGAAAAAATATTTCTTCTCAAGAACAGGAAAGCTATATTTAGTCATATTGATATGGAAGCATCCTCAGGTAGTGTAGATTCAAGTTCAAATGATGACCCCTGGGATAGGGAGGAGCCACAATGGAGGATCAAATTTTTACAAAGGAATGTATGGGAAATTTTTTTAAAATCTTCTCAAGTACAATAAAGCCATTTGTTATATTGACATGGAAGCATCATCAGGTAGTTTAAAATTCAAGCCCCCCCCAGGTAATCTTTTCAATACTGAACTGATTTGTGCTTTTGCCTAGCCAATGTGCTCAGGTGAGCGATGTGGCCCATGGGCCTCTTGTTTATATTTATTAAGGAGGTTGGATCCTACTTTTGAAAGTCTTTAGAATTTTTTGTCAAGTATGTTTTTTGTGTCAACACACATAGCTTAATTAAAGGTGCTTAGACACACGCGGCTATGATAAGGCTGTCCGTATAATATCAAACTGTTCCAACAGTAGTAACTTCTCTGAACTACCTAGATATGACATCATAATAGCATATGACGTCAAGTCACTGCATACTTGAGCTGACATGACGGGGAAAGTGTCATAAATTTTACTTCCTTTCACATGTCATGTAAAGATTTTTTAGCCTTGTTGTTTGATTCAGGTGTCTGGATTATTCTTTAAGCATAATTATGCTGTTATGATGTTGAACATTTGCAATTTAATATCGTTATTCCTTTAACTTTTGCGATATGCATATTTTCAAACAATAACAAAATATTGACTGTGGAATGCTCCCCCTTACACATCCTTGGAGAGAGTTAGAATTTATAAATCGTGTATATATTTGACTGGCACAAGTGATTAATAAAGATAAATTGAAGATATTCCATGTGAATCTACTAGAGATTAGTATGTCCTCTAACTGAATTTTGCTGGGGGATTGTATGTAATTTATTCTATTTTGTATAAATTGCGATAAAGAGTGGAAAATGCCCCCTTGTATATGGGTATGTTGAATTTCTCGTGGAATATTTTCTCAAGAAGTAAAATTCAGACTTGCCCCCAGCACTTTATATGTACCAAAGATCACAATGAATTGACTTATATGACAATTTTTTCTCAATGATGTTGTTTTGCACTTGTGCTATAGCAACATATAAGTCATGAAATTATACAGAAACTTTGAGAAAATATTAACTTCAAATCTGTGTCCAAGCACCTTGAATAATTGAATCAAAAAATGGTGGAAGTATGCTTCTTTAGGTACAACAGTGCATTTAATATGACCTTTTACACTGTAATTGCATTTTACTCATAAATCACTTTTTGGAAGTTTTTCCTATATTATTTTTTATCCAAATAAATCATGGGACCAAATACAGTCTTAAACTCTCTTGAATAGACACATTGAAAATTGTGACAAAGAAAAAATTTCAAATTACTTTGCATAATCAATTATTTGACCTTTCTGCAATAACAAAATGCCATTTTTCTGGCATTAAACATTTAACAAGCAATAAAATTAATTTAAAATCTTAAGCTTTTATTGAATTTAAGCAGAATGGTCAAAGCTATGTTATATATTTATATATATATTCAGAAAAGAAATTTAAAGTGGGGGTCTATGATGTAATTTTTTTTGACATTAATAAATAAGAGGCTCATGGGCCACAATGCTTACTTGAGTCAATATGGCCCTGCTGTTCTTCATCAGCAGATTTCTTCTATATATTCATATATAAAGCTTTGATCGCCTGCTCTAGGCATAGCCTACCTCCAGGTGCCATGTTTTGAATGAAAATTAATCTAAACTTTCTGAGGATGCTTCTATATTCAAATAACTAATCATGGTTTTGCTGTTCTTGAAAATGGAACTTTTAAGTTGTCTGCCACCCTACCCTGGGGGGGGGGGGGGGGGGTCATGATTTGAACAAACTTGAATCTACACTACCTGAGGATGATTCCATATCAATATGACTGATTGTGGCTTTGTTGTTCTTGAGAAGAAAATTTTTAAAGAATTTTTCTAGTCGCCTGCGTGGCGCAGTGGTTAGAGTGTCTGCTCTAGAGTAAGGAGTTTATCCTTACGTCGCGGGATTGAATCCCACTGTGGGATGTTGAGATTGGTCACTCTGATGAGACCCTATAAACCGAGGTCCCGTGTCACAGTAGGTAGGTGCTGGCACGAAAAAGATCCCTCACTGCTCAATGGCTGTAAGTGCCAAGTATAGGTCAGAATTTGTAGCCCTCCACCGGCAAGTGGTGGCATCTCCATATAAGTGAAAAATTCTCGAGAGGGACGTTAAACAACAATCAATCAATATATATTCCTATGTTAAACTTTGATCCCTCATTGTGGCACCACCCTACCCCCAGGGGTCATGATTTAAACAAATTTGAATCTACCCTATGTAATGAAGGTATCACATAAGTTTCAATTTTTCTGGCCCAATGGTTCTTGAGAAGAAAATTTATAAAAGATGACACCAAATTTTCACCAATTCTTAATTATCTCCCCTTGGAAGAGGGCGTGGCCCTTCATTTGAACAAATTGAAACCCCCTTCACCCAAGGATGCTTTGTGGCAAGTTTGGTTGAAATTGGCCCAGTGGTTCTGGAGAAGAGGTCGAAAATGTGAAAAGTTTACAGACAGACGGACTACAGACAAATTGTGATCAGAAAAGCTCACTTGAGCTTTCAGCTCAGTTGAGCTAAAAAGTGTTAATTTTAAACTAAAAATGAGGCTGTAAATGTTACAATATGATGATTAATTAATTGAGAATGCTTGAACCAATAACAAATTGAGTAATACACTGCATATTTTAATTGATTTGATTTTAGATCTAGAGGCAGATTACTCAAACTGCATAAAAAATGCACAAAATCAGAACTCTTTAGTGTGCAGTATAGAGAGGGTTCTTAAAAATGACACTTATTTTTCATATTTAATTTTAAAAAAAAAATTATTTTGTTGTCTACATCTTAATAAAAAAAAGTCTGTTTTCCTAATCAAGAAAGAACTGCGAACGATAGTATTGTTCTCCCGCCTACTTCCAAGTCAATTTTCAAAAGTTAAGATATTCGAATGATTTTTAATATTTATATTGACATTTATATGGATTTTCATAAAACATTACTTCTTTGGGAAAACAACGAGAGATAACTCTAAAATTTTGGTAAAACTTGTGTTTTTCACTATAGAAATCAACGGAAAACGGAAAATATTTTTAAAACATCTTTCCCCCCCGTGAAACAAAAATTCCTTTTTACGGGTAATATGGACTGTCATTTCACAAATTCTTACCAAAGCTTTTTGTGTTTCACGGGGGGGAACATATGTTTATATACAAAAAACGACAAAAATGCTTATTTTTTCAGCAATTTCCAAGTACTTTACAACTGAAACATTATATTTTACTAATATATATGCTTAATTTTATATGCATAAAACATAAGAAAAGATTTAAGAAACATTTATTCATATTCAAGACTATTTCAGAATATGGTGATGCTTTATAGCCCGATTTCAGTGGAAAATATCGTCTACCCCCCTTATTTCAAGAGCTGGAATTAGGGATATTTTACTATTTAGCACTGGAATTAAAATAATTAATCAATTGCCATTGAACTGTTCTTTGTATTAAACAAAGATTTTATGGCCAAATTGTCATCAATATTGAATTAAATGGTTGTAAAATGTAGGCGGGAATCGGGAGTTACCGTGCGTAGTTCTTTAATATAAATGTAAGCCATGGCCATTGTTGTTATGCAGTCTCATTAAGAAGGTGTAATCCAGAATCTGGCATTGTTATTCTTAACAAAATCTTGGAAATTTAAAAAAATATGTCATTAAATTTTGAAGGGAACTAAGTGATTCATTTTTCTCATGATCCTTACTCTTTGCAGATGTTTGGTAAGATAGCCTGTGTTACTAAAAAGAGGTCTAAAGGAATTCACTATGACTGAGGAAAAACCAAAGCGCTGTTCTGGATTGTGCAGCATTAGGACTTGCATTTATATACTTGCAGGGTTATCCATTATTGTTCTGATTAACATGCTCAATGCTAACAACCATTTGACATCACTGATCCTGCTTTCCAAGCAACTTAGAGATGGTTTCAAACAGTTTGTAAACTACAACGGTAGTGCTGATGTGCAACATGGTGGTCAGAGCAATTCTTATATAATGACAGCAATTCAGTCTGGATCAGGCAGCACTGTTTCAGGATCAACCCCAAGCAATAAGGTCACATCCCAGAAAACAATCCAGACTCAAAAACCCACCATCAAACCAACAACTTTAAAAGTAACTACAAAATCTCGTCCTGCGCAGCCAACCCCACGACCTGATGAATGCAAATCCTGCTTTCAACACAACTTTAAATATGTCATAGATAATGAACATATATGTGATTCTGGAGAAGGCAAGAGTAACGTGGACATAATTGTCCTTATTCTGACCATACATGCTAACAGGGAAGCAAGAGACACCCTCCGACAAACCTGGCTAACTCCAACCAAAAACAACACATCTGATATCAGATACGCATTCTTACTAGGCAACACAAAAGATCAAAATCTCCAGAAAAAAGTTGAAGCTGAAAACGCAATTTACCATGACATCCTCCAAGAGGACTTTGTTGATGCATATATGAATCTAACATACAAGACCATAATGGCTTTCAAGTGGGCAAGCACTAAGTGCAAACAGGCAAAATTTGTAATGAAGACAGATGATGATATGTATGTCAATTTAGAAGGAGTGAAACATGTGGTATCTGTACATGGGTCCAGCCTTCAGACTGCTGTGGGAGGAGCATGTCATATGTCTGCTGGTCCAATCAGAGATAAAAATTCTAAATGGTATGCATCAAAGTTAAGTTATCCAAGGAATTCCTATCCTGGTTTTTGCTCTGGGACAGGCTATGTTACAAGTATGAATGTAGCATCAAAGATATACGAAACTTCAAAACATGTTCCTTTCTTCCACCTGGAAGATGTATATGTTGCTCTTTGTATCAAGAAACTGGGTTACAAACTGAAACCTATTGCTGGATTTAACTCGGGGCGTACACCACCGGGGTGTGCGTACAAAACAAAAAATGTTGTGACATCACATTATATGGGTTTGCCACTCATCAGAAAGATGTGGAACTTGAAATGTTAAAATGTTATTGCTACAAATTTACAACTCCTGGTCCCAGGATCATTAAATAGACTTAGACTTAAGTTAAATTTTCAACCTCCTGTAAAATGTAATTGTTAAATTAATCTCTAAATTTGCGATATTAAGACCTTTTAAATGCAATATTGAAAAATATTTTAATTTTGGACTGCTTGACTTGTACATAATTTTAGCACAGCCTTAAGATTTTGACTTAAGCTTAAGATGTTCATGATCCCGGGGCCTGGTATATATGTGTCATACATTCTTGTGAGACAGAAGAAAGCATTGTTGCTAAATATCATTAAGCGTTGCAGTGCAATGCAACGCTTAATGTTATAAATTATTGCATTAATAGTTGACATTCTCAACCACTTAATGATATAATTCTTTCATTAAGCGGCAATTTAGCATTAGTGGTTGAGAATATCATCTATTAATTCCATAATTTATGGCAATAAGTATTGCAATTGCAACACTTAAAGATATTTCTATCTTTCATTAAGCGGCGTTTTATCATTAGCGGTTGCTACAAAGCATTAAGAAAAAAGAAATCCTCTGATGCATTTGAAGAAATCCATTTAAACAACATTATTCAAATTGTAAAACAACACTTTATGGTTGTTTTTTTTTTTATTATTAAAGTGAAAATGTATACATGTACTAGTCTTATGTTGCTTTCTGACCACTAGCTTTCATTTGAAATCCACCTGAATTTATTGTAATTATCTACTGTTTGTATACCCCCCTTTTTTAGAAATTGTATATTTTTTTCTTTATATTACGTATACTCTGTAATCATTGTCACTCTGTGATTGGTTTAATGTGAAATCCTGATTTGTTTAAGTCACCGATTTAATTCTCCACATGTGTGAACATGCAAGGAGGAAAAAAAAAGATTATGATTTCAATTTTGTAACGCTTCATATATTATGACAATTGCTACATTTTTCTTTCCAATCTGCTCAATTTAGGATAAAAATCCATCTTATTTCTCTAATTTTTGAAAGGTTAGATTTATTAAGATTATTTGCATGGCTATTTTTACCAAAAAAATAAATCAATATTTTTAATAAAAATGAATTAGATTAAGGACAGATGATACAAACAAAAATATGGATGCCTGAATTGGTTTATATTTTTTGACCTATTCTGGTTGTAAATGAAGTGACTGATAAATTTGTAAAATATTCAGAAATTCTAAACTTTCCTTGATGTTCAAAATTCTACCTTTCTGCAATGGTCCTTATTAATCTATAAAAATTTTGTCACTTAAAATCCCATTATTGTGAAACTTTGAATGAAAAGTTAAACTGATTCATTTTACTTATATAAAATCTTCAGGATTTTTGATAAAAGTTTTGAGTTGGTATGTATTTCTGTATATTACAAAATATCACTAGCATAACTAATTTATCCAATATTATTTTAGTGTTTTTAGGATTATTAATGTGATCAACATTCCATTTTATGAGTCTATCAAACCAGAGTGTAATGTTTTTGTACCTGTGGAAATAATTAGTTAAAAAAAAAACTGGATGACAATTGATTTCAGGGAGAGGTAAGCATGGACTTTTTAACCCTGATTTATCCGTTTATATACCACCCTTATTTTTATGCTCACCTGAGCCAAATGTTTTGATTGAAGAGTGTCTAACTGAGTGAACCACTGAGCATATTTCAATGAAAAATGGAACAAAGTGTTCTTTGGTGAGATTTGCGTTCTTTCCAAGGGTGATAATTAGGAAATTGTGAAAAAAAATTTGGGATCTTTTAAAAATCTTTTTCTCAAGAACTTCTATGCCAGAAATGACAAAACTTTGGTAAATCTATATTAATGAGTGTATATTCAAATTTGTTCAAATCATTGCATAGGGGTAGGTTGGGGGCTACAGTGGGGGATCAAAGATTTACATGGGAATATAAATATTAAGAAAAAAATTTAAGAATCTCAAGAATTACCAGAGTATGATCAGTTATATCAATAAGCAAGCATCACATTATAGTGCTGATTAATGTTATTCACATCATGGGCCTTTAGGCTAGGATTTCGTTAAAATAGAGATTCAAATATTAAATTTGAATAAGAATATTTTAAAAAATTTAAAAAAGGGAAATCTTTTTAAGAGTATCAGTGACATGCATGCACAACTAAATAATGTGCAAACATTCCCAAGTTGTTTAGATTCCTTTTTTATGGACCCTGAGGGTGGGGCTAAAATAATGGATCTAATCATACTAAATACATGTACAATAAAGCTTTGTTATTAATGGTCGGGATGCTTCACCTTTGGCACTAAATTGCAGAGAACAGAATTTAATTTGTATCTACTAATCATGAAAGATACATTTCATTAATCAGAACACTTTATTAATTCAGCAACAAGCATCCAGATTAATGAGGCTCAACTGTATATGGTGGAAACAGCAAGGCCATGTTAATCATAGAGATACTGAAGTATCCCCATGTTGAATGGTTTCAAGATCATATGACTCCTTGGGGCTAATGTGGGTCACAAAATGGGGTCAATTTTTTTTTTTATTAGAATAGAGGGGAGGGAAAATCTTTTTTGAAAATATAAAATGAGAAACAACAGAACCATGGTTACGTACATGAGCAGTGTGACTCATGGACCTCTCGTCAATTATTTTCCACCCTGATGTATACTATATATCTATTGTTGAGCATGTTGTTATAGGACTATTAATTAACACCATGAACTCTCAGCAAAATGAAAGTCCTAGCTCAGCAATTATTTCATACCAAATAAATGTATATTTATTCTACAAAGTGATATGTTTGTGTATTTTGATACATAGAGGTATGTTATTTTTCTGTAAAAGCATTGTTGCATATCAATTTAAAATATCTTGTGAGATGCTTTTTGTTCACTTTTTTATTATTGTTTTTGACACCTTCTAAAGAAGGTTTAGATATATAGATTGTTGTTGTTATCCCAAACCACTCTTTACAAACTCTGAAAACAGAGTCACCAAAAGTAAGAAAGTCCCAAAAACTGGAGTCTGCACACACACACACACACACACCCTCTCACACACACACACACCCTCACACACACACACACACACACACAGTCAAAATTTAGGTTAAAATTACATGGGTCTACAAAAACTGCTCCTGCAAATTGTTGGAAAATCTGTCAGTCATAATGCAGATTTTTATTAATTTTAAAAATAGAAAATAAGTCAGAAAGACAGCACCCTGAACTGCTCTGTAATAGATTTTAAGAGATAGTATTTTCAAAAACGAGTTATTTATACTTCCAAAGTTGACAAGATCATTTTTATTGAAAATAATAGTTTTAAAAAAAAAAGCAATAATAAATAGGTAAAATGTGCGAAAAGGAACAATATATGCTGTAAATGTATAAATCCTGACTGAATTTAACAATAAACTAGCCCTGAGGCATTGTAATTGTACAATAAGTGACAAATTATACACTCGAGTTCTCAGCATCCTAACTTACTGATTTTTGTCACATACTAGAGGGTATTAACATAGTAACATATTTTTACTATTAGCCAATAGTATTAAAACTTTAAAAAATTACTCGATGAAATAATTTGATATAAACAGGTCTTAAATAAGGGATCAGTCAAAATTTGTGGAAGCATGGGAACGGTGCAAAGTGCATGGGAACACGGACATGGATTTTTTTTTTCATATCCTCAATTAATGGGACTGCAGCTTTTTTTTTAGTTAATGAGCATGGAACATCAAATCTTTTCAATGAAAAAAAGAAGTGAATCAAAAATCATTCAAAACTACAGCAAACTCTATACTGCAATCACTTGATGATTAAAAAAAAAGCAGCAACATTGTTATTGTTTAATACATGTACATGTAGCTGATTATTATTAGACAATTTACTGTAGTATTCTTGTTGGTATGTCTATGCAATATACTACTCCAAAAATATGATTATACCACCCCCTCCCCCTTCTCTCACAAACAAAGTATGGGGGTATATTGGAATCAGCATGTCCATCTATCTGTAGACATGATTTTGTCTGGACATGTTCTCAGAAACTACTGCATAAATTTGTTTGAAAATTTGTACATTCACCTGTCGGAAGCTGACAGTCCTTACAAAATTTTCGTTGCAGTTTTCCCCAGCAATTACTCATCCCAGATGTTTGAAATTTTAGCACACTCTTTGTTTGGCATGCCATGTGGTGGTATTCATTTTTTAACGAATCCAATTTCAACTTCCTGTTTATCCGTGCATCTGTCTGTAACAAATTTTTGTGGCAGTTTTCTCAGCAACTACTCATCGCAGATGCTTGAAATTTTAGCACACTCTTTGTTTAGGCATGCCATACTGTGGGTTTCATTTTTGTTTGAATCTGATGTCAACTTCCTGTTTATCCGTGCGTCTGTCCCTACCAAATTTCCGTTGCAGTTTTCTCAGCAAATACTCATTGCAGTTCAATGAGAGCGGGGGTATTACTAGTGAGCATTGGCTCACAGACTTCCTGTTTTATGTTATTTTTTATATACAACCAAATTGAAGATTTACATGTCTCTTTAAGATGACAGATAGTTGAAGTTTTGTCAGGCTGTGGCTTAATTCATTATTCATAAAAAATACAATGAACAATTAAATTTTGACTGTCAATGTTAACAAATTGTGAACGCTTCTAGATCCATAACATACTTTTAGTGGGTTTGTACCTTTTCTGAAAAACCAAGCAGAGAGTATTTGTCCATTCTGGACAGTTCTAGTTACTATCGTGATCCATTTTATCTGTGGTAGATAATGCACACTTGCATACATTATTGTACTATTACTGGTATTTTCATGTATATGTGTATTGTACTTGTATCTTCATATTTATATATGTTTAATGCATATAGAGTAGTATGCTCTTTGAGGCTTATTAAAAATTGACAATTGTAAATTGTCAGTATGAATGGATTGCATAAACCGTGTTGTTGAAAATTGTCATAGAAAGTTAAGGTTTATACCATACATGTATGTTAGACATGTAACTGGTAGGGGACACCCAACTTTTATGCAAGATAGAGAGCATGCATCTTCACAATGTCAAGGTTCCTCTAAACAAACCTTTGACAAAAGTCACTATTTCAAAGTTAGGCTTGTGGTTACATATGGCGTAATGGCTAATTAGAAACCAACCAATGAGAACATATATCTTTCAAATCCGTCTTTTTCAAGTGGCCCAAAGCCATAGAACATCTTTAATGATTGTAAGGAGAAGGATCTTCCAAAAATTATTCTCCGATATTTTATCTGAGGTAACTAGTCACATTGGCATTTCCCATTTGATGACAAGGCATTTTCGTTTACAAAACTTACCTACTATAAAACTCTTTCTGATTGGTTCCCAGTCATAGACCAGGAACAAATAAAATAGTAGTTTTCTAGCCCAATTTTTAAATAGCGGCTTTTTTCAAGGCTTTGTGTAGAGGAACGATATCACCAAACCTTCACATTGTGAAGATGGAGAGCCTGGGATTAATAATTTTTACCAAACAAGATACCATGAGATTTTCTAAATAAATTCTCAAGTTTCCACTGGTCCAATGCTTCGATAAATTTTGACCGCGGTCATTAAATATTTCTGGTAATGTCTCTGCTCCATGCTAAAAACACATATTTTTGAAAGTAAAATCTGAATGCCATGAAGACAAATAAAATCCTCTTTATTACAGAAATAATGTACGAGGGTTGTTTAAAAAATACTCGGACTTTTGTCAGAACTTTTCTTATATCACTGGGCAGCTTTTGAAAAAAAGTTTGGTCAGAACTCTAACTTTAAAATTATTCATTACATTTAAATTTTTTGACATATTTGAAGTAAACAATTTAACCATTATACAATATTCAATCTAAAAAAATTTACACAACATCGTAAAGAAACAAGATTAATGGCAGACAATTTTTTGCGGTGGAAGGATACGTGGAAGAAAATTTCTTCCGCTACACCTTTGTTTAATGTCTTGAAACTTATGTCCTACATATTTTTACTCATAGAATGTTTTTCATTATTATATGCTTGGAATATTAAATATAGGTTTCAATTAATATTTTTAAAACAAATTTTACACATTCACTCAACAGACTTAGCCAAAAAAGAAGATACCTGTATATTGAAGAAGTCAAGATAAAATAACATTTTTTTTTTTTTTTTTTTTTGGTCTGAAAGTCGCGTATTTTGACCAGTATCTCAAAATTAACATCTCTGGCCTTAATGTTTTCTTTTATTATTTCAAACTACACAATACTCCAAACAATCAGCACTTAAATCTTAAAAAGCTTGATGAAGAGAATATTTAATTACCTCTTTAGATTTTTGATATCCCAAATACATGTAAGATATTTTTTCAGTGCAAAAAGGTCACTCAAT